TCATCGTCGGTGTATACAATTCCGTTTCCAAGGACCCAAAACCTTTCGAATTTTCCCTCCGATTACAAATGGCGATTGTGACCGGAGATCGATACGTTGAGAAGCTACAGAAGTTTCTAGAAGATGAAACCGAATCTCTTCTCGAAGAATCAATTGTTCTCAAGCTTAATCCAGCTGGTCTTCACTATATTCATCTTCGTCTTGAATCTCTCCGTGAACTCGAACGCATGCTCTCTGGTGCTCCTGTTGATTACCTTCGCGCTTATGTTTCCGATTTAGGAGATTACCGTGCGCTTGAGCAGCTTCGTCGTATTCTCCGGATTCTTACTTCGGTTAAGCTTGTTTCTACGCTTCCTTCGCCGGTTCGTGATCCGACGCCGTTATCTCTTATTCCGTTTGGTAGGCTTAAGGTTTTGGAGCTTCGTGGGTGTGATTTGTCTACTTCTCCGGCTAAGGGTTTGCTTGAGCTCCGGCACACCTTGGAAAAAATCATCTGCCATAATTCCACTGTCAGTTTTACTTCCTACCTTTTGGCTGCTATTGCATTTCTGCTATGCTTTGACATTTTAGGTTTTAAAGAGGAATTGAACACTATTAGTATGTATTTTGGACTGGCCAATGAGCCATTGAAGGCTTTATAGCGTTTATGCATATGCTAAGCTTTCCTGTGAATCTTTTAAATGAGGGATTGTTCTTGATATAGGATGCTCTGCGGCATGTGTTTGCCAGTAGAATTGCCGAGATATCGAGTTCGCAAGAGTGGAAAAAGTTGGCGGTCATATCATGTGCTTGTAACCGTCTTGTGCTCATGGATGAGTCCTTGCAGCTTCTCCCAGCTGCTGAGTCGCTTGATCTGAGTCGGAACAAGTTTGCAAAGGTGGATAATCTTCGGAGATGCACCAAATTGAAGCACCTTGATCTGGGTTTCAATCATCTTAGGACAGTCTCTCACTTGAGTCAGGTGGGAAATTTCAGGCTTCAGCATATTCATGCATATGTTTCAATTTGATCCAGAATTACTTAACACATACCGTTGTAAGATTGTAGTACCCGCTTTTGCCCTTGAAGTTCTAATATTTATTGCCATTTGTACCATGTAGCTTGTCTCTGTAGTTAGAGAAATACGCTGGTTTAGTTTCGAGAACATATATCTGTACTGGAACATTTATTGAGGTTTCACCCTTGGGACTCATATACCGATATTTTTGGACAATGCAGGTATCCTGTCATCTTGTAAAACTTGTTTTGAGGAACAACGCTCTAACTACGTTGCGTGGGATTGAGAACTTGAAGTCACTTGAAGGCCTTGATGTTTCCTACAATATTATTTCCAACTTTTCAGAATTGGAGTTCCTTTGGAGCCTTTCACTACTGAAAGAATTGTGGCTGGAAGGAAATCCAGTGTGTTGTGCTCGATGGTACAGGGCACATGTCTTCAGCTACATTGCTCTTCCAGATGATGTAAGTTTCTTTTTATTCTTGTTTTGGAGATCCTGAAATCTTGTCAGAAACGGCACCATGTCAGTTTGTGCTTCATTTGCAATGCTTCTTTTGTTGTACGTCTTTTCAGCTGAAGCTAGATGGCAAACAGATAGGAACTAGAGAATTTTGGAAGAGGAAAATCATTGTAGCCCATAGGCAAAGTGAGCCTGCCAGCTACGGATTCTATTGTCCAGCTAGAGAGGAAACTGATGAAGAAGAAAGCTGTAATAGAAAAAAGGTAAGCAGCCACAAGTCCATTTACAAT